ATCGCGTACTTCCTACAGGAAGAAGCAAATGGAGTTTGGCGAACCGCTCCTGGTAGGTCGCTTTACTGACCAGGAGGCACGTCCCACTGAACTGACTCCCCCTGGGCTTGATGAAAAACGGACAGTGGTATCTTTTTGAGAAGATCAGAGAGTTCTGCACTGAGGAAACCAAAGACATCACCTGCCCCAAACCCTTAACACCTCATCCTTAATGAGTAAGAGTGCATAATACATCAACACTATGTCATTCTTCTATAAATGCTGTAAATATATATTTCAAATTGGTTTTAAGTACTGTTAGCTACTCTGTTGTTTGTTTGCTATTTTTATATTGTGTAGTATATTTATCTGTTCTGTTGCTTGCTTCTTTCTCTAAATTAACTTTTGTGCCAAATGATTCTAATGTTGTTAGAGGTTAACATGCAATCAGTTCATTTAAGTATTTATTCATAGTGTTTTTCCAAAATGGTATATCGATGATTGTGCACGTGGGTATGGGTGTGCGGGTACGTGCACGTGAGTACGGGCGTGCACGTGAGTACGGGTGTGCATGTGGTCTGGGTGTGCACATGGCCATGTACATGGGAATAGATGTGTGCGCATAAGCATGTGTGTTTTTGTGCAAACAGCTCTAGATGAATTCGTTTTATGGTATGGTTCATTTGAATAAATACCTAAGAAAGTACTGCAAACTTTGAAGGCCTTTTTCTCAAAATCATGGTTCGATGACATTCATTATGTAAAGTGACGTATTTTGCTTAATATTTGGAGGACAAAGACAATATTGATATCATTAGAAAGCTAAGAATCTCATCTTTCCAACAGTGTATCAAACTCAAAATGTGTTTCAGGGTCAATGTGACTGAAAATGATAGAGCAGGTCACATATGATCAATGAAAACATGAAAACATATCATGGTTTGGATTTTGTATTAAGTCTATAGAATACTTTTCAGAGGCTGGGACTACTCTGGAGCTTCACAAAACTACCTCCAGATATTTTCACATATTTTGCCATTACCAAATATTGCTCTTACTGCAATCTGGATATTGCATTGGTCCATATTGCGCTTTAGATATAATTTTAATTGTGCATCATTTTGACCATCTCAACAGCTAGCCCAAAGTAATGCAATTGTGGCACATCACTGCCTTGGTTGTTAGCAAACAATCACCTGTTATGTATTGTGCAGACACAAAGCATTAGAATTAATTGTTATTGTGTGATTAATGTCCTAGTGTTGAATGTTAAAAACTGCTGCTAATCGCTCGAAACAATGTGTTGACACTGAAGAATCATACAGCAAAATGCCGGCTGTTAGCATCCACTAGGGCTGCCAGATATTGGAAAAAAATGACATTGCGATATATATTTTTTCCCCTGCGATATATATTGCGTTTTTTTTAACTATATTTAACCGGATGAAGGATTTTAGTCACGGGTGTCTGGATCTTAACTGGTTGACTCATCATACCTTAAGTCATGATCTAACATGTCATGATAATGCATGTTGCTTACCCTCAAATAAGGGGGTTCATCTGTGAATGAAGAAGAGAAGAACCTTTTTGTATCCAAAATAGTTCCAGATGGCAGATGTTGCTTTTCTTTTTGGAAGTAAATCTTCACTCTCGCCGGTATTGTCCACCTGTGCCTCGCTCATTTTTTACCGGCGTTTTGATGGTCTGCAAACTAGCGGGGCGGGGCCTGCTGTGATCTGATCAAGAATGATTGTGATTGGTGGTTTGCTGTGCATGCAGAGCCAGCATTTCACTCACTCAAGTACCCCTGACATCAGAGTAACATCAGAGCAAGTTTTCCTTTTGTAGCAAGCAGAAAAATAATTGTAACATGACTTGTTTGAGTTAATGTACCTACTTAATATTGCAGGTCATAAAAAAAAAAATGAAAAAAATATATATATAAAAAATTAATAAAATTGCACGTCCCTGCGATGTGAATATCGCGCATGCGCATATCGCGGTTATCGCCATGACACGATATATCGTTCAGCCCAAGCATCCACCTTTACAAAATACATAATTATTGTATTTGTATACTTGTATCGATTAGAGGAGCTTTATATATAATCAAGACTGTCACTGAAGAGGCAAACCTTTCATTGCCTTTCCTTTTGTGTGACTCTGAAACCCTCTGGTTTGATTTGCAGCCCCCAACAGGAACCCTCTGAAAGTAATGTATTGCTCTATTCCAGTTACAATGCATCATAGCTCACATTAGCTCAAATGCTCTGAAGACATATTGGCAATCATCGCCTCATATCCTGTTTCTCGCCGGCCAGAGAGGAGGAGAGGAGCTGAATCATCTGACAGAGAGCAACAGGGTGGATGCAAATCATGGTCTTAATGTTTTGAAAAATGGTGTACTGGCTAAACAACATATGGGTTAGGGTCTATATATACAGTGGGGCAAAAAGGTATTTAGTCAGCCACCAATTGTGCAAGTTCTCCCACTTAAAAAGATGAAAGAGGCCTGTAATTTTAATCCTAGGTACACTTCAACTATGAGAGACAGAATGGGGGGAAAGAATCCAGGAAATCACATTGTAGGATTTTTAATGAATTAATTGGTAAATTCCTCGGTAAAATAAGTATTTGGTCACCTACAAACAAACAAGATTTCTGTCTCTCACAGACCTGTAACTTCTTCTTTAAGAGCCTCCTCTGTCCTCCACTTGTTAACTGTATTAATGGCACCTGTTTGAACTCGTTATCAGTATAAAAGTCACCTGTCCACAACCTCAAACAGTCACGCTCCAAACTCCACTATGGCCAAGACCAAAGAGCTGTCAAAGGACACCAGAAACAAAATTGTAGACCTGCACCAGGCTGGGAACACTGAATCTGCAATAGGTAAGCAGCTTGGTGTGAAGAAATCAACTGTCGGAGCAATTATTAGAAAATTGAAGACATACAAGACCACTGATAATCTCCCTCGATCTGGGGCTCCACGCAAGATCTCACCCCGTGGGGTCAAAATGATCACAAGAACGGTGAGCAAAAATCCCGGATCCACACGGGGGGACCTAGTCAATGACCTGCAGAGAGCTGGGACCAAAGTACAAAGGCTACCATCAGTAACACACTACGCCGCCAGGGACTCAAATCCTGCAGTGCCAGACGTGTCCCCCTGCTTAAGCCAGTACATGTCCAGGCCCGTCTGAAGTTTGCTAGAGAGC